CAATTTTTGGTTTCTGCATTCATAAGGGACTCACCAGGATTTTCAGGACAAACTGTCCAACTTGGATGCAGTTAGTTGAGAGAGTTCTTTCAAGTCTGATATTACTATTTCCCATGTTTTTCAAATTTATTTTTTTCTTTTCAATCCAGATTACTGTTGTTAGTCTGAAATACTTTGAGCTCCTGGTGACATCATGTGGTTGCTTGTATAACTGCAAGTTGGATCTTGGCAACTCCAAGTTGGATCAATGGCATTAGCTAGACCAGTGAAGATGAACTGATTTTCCCTCCCCAGACCTCCCAAGAGCTAGAGAGATAGCTTTTGAGAAGAACTGGAGTTCAGTTGGAAGCACCCAATGCCAGGTGGCTCATAACAGATGTCTCCAGGTGGATCCAAATCCTGTGACCTCAGACACTTATATTCAGGTGTACATCCCCACACATAAACACACACACACACACACACACACACACACACACACACACACACACACACAAAATCTTTAAATTTTTTCAGTAAAAATAATTGAAAACAAAAGAGATAAAAAGCCTTTCTTGGTTGTGGGGTAGTTTTTAGTTGACTGGAAACCTCGTTAGTCCAGCACAGGTAGCATAAGACCTCCAACTGAAGAATATTCCCCATTACCTGATTAGAAGGAACACCACTGGTTCATGCAGAAAGGGAGAAACCAGTCCACCCTTATCTTTAACTAACTCAGTTCTTAGAGTTCAAGCCTCTGTGAGACTTTGTTTTGTTGGTGGTGTTGTTGGTTTTTTTTGTGTGTTTTTATTTTGTTTTGGAAACTGCACCCCCCACCATGAACAGAGGGAAGGAAACAGAAAAATACAGAGTTAGATACTGGAGAAATGGCAGGAGGAGACTGAAAGCTACTCTTATATAGTACCTGAAACAAATAACAACATACTCAGTGTTGATACAGAAACACAGCTCTCACCTCAAATGGGAACAACAGACAGTTTATTTTGGAGCCAAATATGAGGGGGCATGGTCCAAGTTTAGGTTACCCCAAATTCCGTGTTCCAACATGGGAAGAGTTTCATGAATTTTTACAGTAATAAAACAAAGAAAGCAATAGACACTTTTAAAATACAGATGGAAACATTAAGTAGGTAGTTACAGCGAAGCAGAGGAATCTCAGCTGTAGGCATGGATAGACCTCAGAAAATCTCAGCTATAGGCATAGATAGACCTCAGAAAATCTCAGCTACAGGCATGGAGACCTTAGATGCTAAAGGATTACACTAAGCCCTTTGATTGATGAGAAGCTAGGGCTTAGCAAAGTTAATATATTCAGAAAGTTTTGTTGTGTTTTCATCTGTTAGGACTTAAGTTCTGCATTTTCTGTTAGTTGCAGGATGTTAAGTCCTACACAGTAGGGTGAGGAATGACTATTTAGTGTGTTAAAATGGAGGGAGGAGAGAAAGAACTTCGGGATAGGGATAGTAGGCAGAACACAGGTGGAAAGAAGAAGAGATTAAGAGGAAAGTAGGGTAGAAAAGCAGAGCAGCGAGTCTCAGGTGAGAGGCGGGATAACTCTAAGGATGTTTGAAAAAGCCATATGGAAACCTACTTTTGTGGTAAGCTTTGTGTGTGTGTTGGGGGGGCTAAAAAGGCCTGGACTCAAGGCCTAGTGGAACTTCCTGAGCCTGGCTAGAATTTGGCGACTGCCTCTGCCCAGCTACTGCTAATGTGGTGGAATAATATTGGCCCTTACACTTCAACCCATCCTGAGGTCCCCACCTACTTTCTCAACCCTATCTGTATAAATACCTGCCTGATGCAGTAAAGCAGACTCTGCTTCAACAAGTCTCCCAACTCAGTAACTAGGAGGGGGCTCTCTGATTAATCTGCACTCACCATCCTGCTCAGTCAGCTCTTCCCCCGCCCTATCTGCCAGAGGACCCGGTGTGTTGTTGATTTTTCAAAACTGGGTTTCTGTGTAGCCTTCGCTTTCCTGGAACTCTCTCTGTGGACCAGGCTGGCCTTCAAACTGGGATTACTACCACTGCCTGGCCTTGTCTTTCTTTTTGAGATAGGGTTTCTCTGTGTTAGTTCTGGCTGTCCTGGAAATCCCTCTGTAGACCTTAACTCAGAGATCCACCTGCCTCTGCCTCCCAAGTGCTGGGATTAAAGTGTGTGCCACCACTGCCTGCCTTTGTGTAAGTTTACTAAAAAAATATTTAAAATTTTAATTGGGGGGCTGGAGAAATGACTCAGCAGTTAAGAGAACTAGCTGTTCTTCCAGAGGACTGGGCTCAAGTCCTAGCACCCACATAGCAATGTACAACCATTTGTAGCTCCAGGTCCAGGGGATCCAACACCATCTTCTGACCTCTGTCAGCATTAGCTACACACACACTACAGACATACATATAGGCAAAACACCCATACCCATAAAAGTAAATCAAATATTTTTTAAGGTTTTATTGAAATTACCCCACATGGGGGAATAATGCTTCTCCCAGAAAACACAAAGGATCAAACAAAAAAAAGCTCAATCCCAGGAGTGGGATACTTCCCTTCAAGTTGCTGGTCAAGGAAGTCTAAGAAACCCCAACATCACAGGTTATTGCCATTGAGTTTGCATGCCCATTGGAACCTGAAGGGTGATCCTATTGCTGAAGGTCACAAGCAGACCTTGGAAAATCAAGCTGGTACTGAGCAGGAAACCTCCTCTTTGATGGTCAGCTTTCACCATTCTTCAAGGCGCTAGGCAGGCAGGCTTCAGGGAGAGACAAGGTACTAACAGTCTTACTCAGCAGTGAACCCAGTGGTCTACAGTGATGACTCACCCAGCAAGGTATGCTCATGGGTACAACAGTGGCACAAACGTCTGGGGCAACCAACAGCTGTCTTATTAGATTCAAGGCCCCTTTGCAGGAAAGTGTAAAGAATGAGAAACTGTTGAGAGCTCAGCTCCAAAGTTGGCCCCTCCACCCGAGGCTCAGAGACTGTCATGGAAAAGGTGGGAGAGTCTAAGAGTTGGAGATTGGGGGGCTGCTGTGAGAGTGTCTTCTGGACACGATAGGCAGTTACACTCATGAACTCTCAACAGTTGTGTTTGCCTACACAAGACCTGCCCAAGATCAGCCTACTCAGTTATCTCAGCACGGTTGGGAGTGGGCTCACAAGACCCCACTCCTAGTAGAGAAGCTAAAGCTGCTGGGGGAAGAGTTGGTTTTCTTTAGGTGTGATATTCCCGAGAGTTTTGTCCACACATAGTTTCAATTCCCAGCACCCATACAGTGGCTTATAACTGATTGTAACTCTAATTCCAGGGGCTCTATTACCCTCTTCTGGCATCTGCAGGTACTGAACACACAGTGCAGTGCACTGTGCATGCACACACACACACACACACACACACACACACACACACACACACACTACCCATACACATAAAATGTTTTAAAAATTAGAAAATTAAACCTAAAAAGAGGCAGTCTGAGTCGGGTGTGGTGGTCCATGTCTTTTAATGCCAGTACTTGGGAATCAAAGGCAGAAGGATCTCTGAGTTTGAGGTCAGTCTGGTCCAGGACAGGAAGAGATAAAAGACCCTGCCTCAAAGTTCGGGTTTCTCAAGAGAGAGCTATCACTGGGAGCCTGGATAGCTCATCCTACCAACAAACAGAAAGCAGACCCACAATCCAGCTACTCATAGAGTTTAGGATGCAGTTTACAAGTTAAAAATCAGCCTGGGCAGCTTAGTTGGTAAAAGTGAAAACAGGGTTAGGGATATAGTAATAGGGTAATTGTCTAGCAGGTGGGAGGTCCTGGGTTTAAGTTCTAGTATTGGGGGAGGGGAGAATAAAAGTGTCTGGGCTTTGATGGAACTGGTAAGGTGATGATATTCTACTACTGCCTGACTTAATTCTGCTTTTGGCTGAGGGGAGACTAATGCGCAGAAGTGACCTGGACCTATCTCCACAAATGTGGACTTGGCACCTTCTTTCCCACTTTTGCCACAATGACAGGGACTGTTGGGCCACTGTTGTCACCTCTTTCTGGGCTAGGGTGAGTTGGGCAGCCTCAGAGCAGAACTGAGGCTGAGTGAAACCTCTGCTGTGTGACTGGGACCATAACCACCTCCCCTACCCCAGAAAGAGTCACTTTCCTTCTCCTATGGACTCCTAAAAGCCAATTACCCGACTATCACTCACCACTACGGCTATGCTTCAATGCTATTTTGCGGTTCTGGGGACTGAGGTCAGTGCCTAGCACTTCAGGCAACTGTTTTTACTATTAAGCTACATCCACCACCAGTTAAAAACTTGCTTGAGACATGGTCTCCCAGTCTGTATAGGTGACTGCTTCCAATTCATGAGTTGCTAGGATCACAAAACATACGTTGTCATGACTAGCTTCACACTATTTTTATAATGCACCTGTGCCAACTGGGACACCAAGGAATTGGGGGAGCATGGAAGGAGGCTACTTAGATGTAGGGTCTCAACCTGTGGGCTACTATGAGAAAACTTGGAGGAATAGGTGAGTTGGCTCTCCTCAGCTGAGGCTCTAGACATCAGCAACCAGAGGAAGACAAGAACCAATCCAGTCCTGCAAGGACAGGATGTTTAGTGGGGGTTTGCCTCTGTTCCTCACAGGTAACTCCTATTTACTCCTGAGGAAAACCCCTGGGATCAAGCTGCATCCCAGGGTTTCTAGGATAGGTGAAAGTGACCTTCCAGCTACGGTGATGGCCTGGTGGGCTCTTGACCAGCTATGAGGGCTCCCTGGCAGTGTTTGCTGTATACTCGGGATACCTCCTCTACCAAGCCCTGTACTTCTATCAGCTGATTGTCAAATACACAAGTGAACAGTACCATGTTCCCCTCTAAGGTAAGTGTGGAGCCTCAGGCAAGAGTGCAGGGGTAGACAGGGTGAGTACAAAGACGTGGGCCCCATGTGAAAGTCTTCCCTCCCTTGACCATAAAGACCCAACTTCTCCCTTTTCCAGACACAAGGATAAAAGAGAACTATTTAGAAACTAGGACCTTTGACAGTTTATTTCTTGTTCAAGATGTGACCAAATGATTTTATTGCATTTACTATCTCTGGGTAATGCACTGAGCAGAAAAAGAAGTCTTATAATTCTTTGATTGGGTCTGAAATAGACTTCTTGATATGAAAATCAGGAGAGAGCACCAGAGGCCTTGAATTCATTTTCCCAGGCTTCCTGACAGCTGAGAGCTGGTACAGCCTACAGAACCAGCCTGGCTGCAGCTCTCACAGCCAGTCACAGTCACACTGAGGCCAACACCCTCATGGCTGAGCCTGGCCAACACCAGTGGGCCAGGGCAGTAAGACCACATTTTTGATTGCTTGAGGTTTCCTACCAACAACCACTCCCAGAATCGCAGGCTCTGAGATGAAAGGCCACGGATGAGGATTCTTCCTTGCAGATGGCAGTAGCTCTGAAAGCACACAACTGGAATTGAGTCCAGCATTCAAAGGAATGAAAGCACGCTACCTCAAGTTCGAATTGGTTCATCTGGGGCAGGAATAACAACAGCACCATGGAATTATCTGGAGTTTGGCTATGTCCACTCAAACCCCAGTGTTGAAGTCCTTACTCCCAGTACCTCAAGATGTGACTTTATTTGGAAATGGTCACTCCAGATGTAGGTGGGGTTCTGCTGCAGCAGACAGGGTGAGCCCCAACCCAAAAACTGGGATCCTTGTACAAAAGGTAAGTTTGGAGACTGACACAGTGGAGATGAAGGCAAAGACGGAGAGACATCTGTACAAGCCCAGGGCTACAGACAAGTGTTAGTGACCACCAGACCCAGGATGATTCCCTCCTTCTAACCTCAGAAAGAACCAATCCTGCTGACACCAGACCTCAGCCTGGTAGCTTCCCTAACAGTGTCAATGCCACTTGCTGCTGTTAGAAGAGCCTATGTTTAGTACTAGTTATAACAGCACTAGGAAGCTAAACAAATTGCCTTGGAGTTGATACCCTTGAAGGAAGGACATGGCTTCACAGAAGCTTCTGTCCCAGGGTGTGACTCTCCAGGCAGGAACCTTGAGGGACCAAACTCTCAATTCTCAGACAGAACAGGGAGGAATCTGAGTAGTGACAGGCAGTTTCCATCCCACATTTATGAAGGATCTTTGTGGCACAAATAAGACATGTTGGGATAGGTGCACACACTTGTAAAATGTGAGCTCCCGATCCCCATATGGTCAGTGGCCTGGCCTAATCCCCCACAGATCCTAGAGGTCCTCCTGGCCATCTGTAGATCTGTGGGGCACTCTCCTGGACACAATGATCTCAGGCTGACTTCTGAGGACAGGTCCAGGGTCAGAACTTTAGGCAAGCTCTCCACTATCCACACCATGCACCTCCAAACCATGGGACAGGGGCAGCCCAGTACCTCTGAGGGCTGGAGCAAGCGGCTGGAGGGCTCTAAGATGCAGATCTTGAGGCTGAAGTTGCCTCACCTCCCTGGGTTTTGGCACAGTAGAAGGAATGCTCAGGTGGCTACTTTCTATCTGGGGAGGAAGAGGCCTGGCACCAGAAGTTGGACACTACCTGAGAGCAAAGGACAGGTGGTTCGGGCTCTGTGCTGGGGCAGGACTAGCTTGGGGGCCACACCCTGCTCAGTATGAGTTCAGAGCCTGCTTGGAGCGACGCTTCATGTGCAGGCGTTCGTGGCGGAGGAGATCATAATTCTGCCGAAAAGTTTTGACACAGTACCGACACTGGAGGGGACGGGCCTCATTCTTCAAGCGACAGTGGCTACGATGTCTCACCAGATGGTCATGTCGCTGGAAGCCCTTCCCGCAGTTCCCACACTGGAAGCCCAGCTTGGCCTTGCTCTTCTCCAGCAGGGCATGGGCACCTGTGCCCTCCGTTTCCAACGCATCCTCCTCACTCTTCTGCACGGGTTGCTGTTTGTCTGTCTGCAAGTGGATCCGTTGGTGGGAGAGCAGGTGTGAGTTGAGGCGGAAGCTCTTTCCACAGACAGTGCACCTGTAGGGCTTCTGGGCCTCATGGGTCTCCAGGTGTCCATCCAGGTCCTCACTGTCACTGAATAGCTCTCCACACACTGAGCATTTGTGTGGCTTCTGCTCCCTGCGGCTACGCAGGTGCCGGATGAAGTTGACCCTCCAGCGAAAGATCTTTCCACAGTTCGGACACACGTAAGACTTCTGTGAGTTCTGCACCTCACCCCCAACTTCAGTGCTCCTCCGGTGAGTCGGGAGACTGTGAGGCTTTTCTGCAGGGCTCCCTAGCTCCTCAGTGCAGTACGGGCTGTGTTGGGAGTCCTCATCCCCAGAACTGGACAACACGATATCAATGGTCACCTCCTGGTCCAGGCTGCTCTTTATAGGTGGTGGGTCACCTCCTGTTACAGGAAACCAGTATGGTTAGTGGAACTGTCCAGATGACTTCCTAACCTACTCAGAAAGACTTAACTGGGGGTCTAGATACACTGGGGTTGTAGTGTTTCTTAGTACCTCTTAAGGGTTTGGCTGTCCTGTATAGGCTGCTGGTGTAGCAAACTGGATCTTTCTTTCTGGCTTTCCTGCTGCTTTTCCCTAATCCTTTCCTTTCAAAGCCATTTCTTCCTGAGCCACTGGGACTTTTTAAAAAAAGATTTATTATGTATATAGCGTTCTACCTACAGGCCTGAAGAGGGCACCAGATCTCATTACAGGTGGTTGTGAGCCACCATGTAGTTGTTGGGAATTGAACTTAGGACCTCTGGAAGAGCAGCTAATGCTCTTAACCTCTGAGCCACCTCTCCAGCCCTGAGCCACTGGGACTTAAAATTCTAAGAATTGGCACTTACCTGTGTAAACCTTTGACACACCATTGATATTACTTAACTAGATACCATGCCAAGGACCCTGGAGGTTCAGGGACCATGTTAGAGTTATAGGTGTGCACAGCCCCCTCTGCTCCTAGACATTAACAAGTGCTGTATTACTTACACTATACACTCTCACAGGCACAGAGACATGCCCAAGGAAGAAGGGTGGGAGTAGGACTTGACCCTCACCAATTCTCAACCTAAGTCTGATGGAGCTAGAAGCTGGACTTCAAGACGAGTTTCTCTGTGTAGCTCTGGCTGGGATTAAAGGTGTGTACCATCACTGCCTAGCAAGACTGTGTACTTTAAAAGAGACTTTGGACATTTTAAGAAGACTGAACATTTTGTTTTCTTGAGGCAGGGTCTCACTCTGTAGACCAGGCTGGACTTGAACTCAGAGATCAGCCTGTCTCTGCCTCCAGAGTGCTGGGATTAAAGGTGTGTCCTGACAAAAAGACCAAACTTTTAAAGTGTTTGAATTTTAAAGACGGTGGAACACTTAAAAGTTGGAATGTTTTGAGCTGGGCATGGTGGCACACACCTTTGATCCTGGCACTCAGGCAGAGGCAGTTGAATCTATGTGAGTTCAAGGCCAGCCCAGTCTACAAAGAGAGTTCTAGGACAACCAGGACTGTTACAAAGAGAAACCCTGTCTCGAAAAACCAAAAAGTTGAAATGTTTTATATTGTGATAATGATTACAACACAAGATCTTGGGGACAAATAAGAAAGTGTGTTTTGTATATCGAGTTGACAAGTGATGTGATGTGTTTTGTATATCGAGTTAACAAGAGTCAATTGTGTTGGTTAATTTTACTTCACTTTGACATAAGCTAGAGTCATGTGGGAAGAGGGTATCTTAATTTAGAAAATATCTCCATACGACTGGCCTATGGGAAAGTCTGTGGGGCATTTTCTTGATTGATGACTGATCGGGGAGGGTTCAGTCCACTTTGGGTGGTGTCAACCACGCTCTAGAATCCACTCTGTCTACACATGATGGGGAGCTTAGCACTAACGGCTGAATGCCCTGTACTGCCTGAGGTGGACATACCAATCCTACCTGCGAAAGCATCACAAGTGAAAAAAATGTGCGACTCTAGACAACCGTAGGAAGCCGCTGAGACACTGGGCTCAAAGATGTGTTTAGCAGAGCCTGTGTGTGTTATTTAGAAGAACATCTGGTCCCCAACAATGTTAAAAGATAGGACACTGTAGTCTGCCCCTGGAGGTGGTTACTATGACAAACTTGGACTGGGAAGGCATCAATGCACCTTCTGCATTCTAGAATCCGCTCTTTACAACAAGATGATCATGGGATTTTTTTACCATCAGGTAAAAAACACACTCATTACATACAGAGCAGTGTTACATTAGCCCTTGACAATCTCTCCGGGAAAGGCAATGAACAGCCACTGTGGGATGGGCAAACAGCAGGACAAAACCAGAAAAGAGGCTGAAAACCCCACAGCAGCAGTCAGCAGCAACCTTGGACAGTTTAATTCCTAACGTCCCAATCAACACACACATGCCCATCATCTCTCCCCCACATTCAGACCATGCACCACAAGGTCACACACCACACCCAGGCTCCTCACCTGGACAAGGACTTTGAGTGAGCGCCACCTGCTGGCAGGACTGGAGCTCTGGCACCTGCAGCTCCTCCCACTTCCTTCCTTCTTCTTGGGATGGCTGGAGGCTGGGAAGGTCTTTGCAAAGAAAACCGAGAAAGCAATGTCATATGCAGGTATCACTACCCAGAAACAAATAAGGAAGGGGTATTCTATGATCTGTAGGTGCTGTGTTCCCTCCTGGGGCCTGGGATGAAGGGGTCATTCTGTTGAGTGAATGAACCAGCAGGAAAATGAGCGAAGACCATGAACCTAGGTTCTGAAGCTGGAAAGAATAATGTATGTTCTAGTTCTGCCTGTTTACCTCTGTGGCCACAGACAAGTAACAGTATTGCCTCTAAGGTCACTGCCACCTTCCAAGGTAGGTCCTGTAAACACCTTTAGGCCACAGACCTTCCACAAATAGACCGTGCTGATCCTATGAAGCAGAGACGGGAGGGCCAGAGGGGATGGAGGTCCAGGGTTGCTGTTGATTCTTGTTCAAGGCTACCTCCCTTCATAGCACAACAACACAGGTTACACATGCACACGCATGCACGTTCTGAGCACCCAGATACATGGCGCAGATGAATCTTAGCCCATCTCTGCCCATGGAATTCTCGCAGAATCTATGTGTGTGGGGGTAGGATGGGGAGGGGGGCCTGGGCGGGTGCATGCAAACACAGTGTCTAAAGGAGTTGTGCTTTGTGCCCAGTCCTCAGCCATGAGCATCTGACCACTTTTCTGGAGAAGACTTTACTACAAACATAACACTGCTATGGACAGCAGAAGACATTTTCCTTCTCTACTAGTCCCTGGCCAAAGAATAGTCTCAATGGACAGTGAAATCCAGACCGCCCATCTCTACAAGAAGCCAGAGGCAAGGCAAGACATGAAATGCCAAGAGAGTGTGGTGTCGTGGAGAAACACCGGGGAAGCTCTGCTGGCAGCAGTGTGCTACCTTGCTGCCTACCCACTGGACTGCCACTCACCTAGGCAGGAGACCTGGGGTGCGTCTTTACTCTGGAGGTCTGCCATCTCTGTAACCCGTGGTCCGTTCTCTTCGGGTGAGAGGTCTGGTTGAGCTGCAGGGTCATCTGTTCACAAAGAGGTAGGACACAGTGACCTGCTTTTGCAGATGACCAGGGCAGGCCCAGGGAGGCAACCGAGAAGAGACAGCCACTGGGCTGTGACAGGTGCCACTGAGCTGTGACAGGCACTGCTGGGGCTATAGAGGACAGGAAATTGGGAAAGGGTGAAGGCAACATGTGACAGAGCAGGCCAGGACCTATCCCTGTGAGGCCTACTGGATACATCTGAAAGGGCAGTGGAGCAAGAATGATTGGAAGCTGATGGAAACACTGAAATAATGTCATATTTGGGTTGTGGGACAAAGCCTGAGAGCCTAATCTACATGTTAGGGCAGCCAGGTCACCCACAAGCTACCTGTGGGTCCTGAACAGATAGCTTACTGTCAAGGTAAGGGAGTAAACAGAGAGACCAGATTCAGCCACAGTACCTGAACCTCCCAGGTGGTGTCCCTCACTCTGAGTAAGTCCCCTACCCACCTTCCATATACTTGGCTTCATGAGGAGCTAGGTCTTACTTGGAGGCATGGAGACCCCGTAGTCTTCCCCAATGATGAACTCTCCATAGAAACCAGTCTGTGCTGGATCCAGAAGGGACCAATCCTCTTCTGAGAAGCATAAGATCATGTCTTTAAATGGAGAAACACGGTTCTGAAAGTACAGAGCAGGGCTGTGTTAGCTGGGAGGAGCAGGGCCTTTGTGTGTACCAGCTGTGATGACCAGATGCCATGGTCAGGTGGCATGTAACCTGAGGCACTTATGCCTGATGACTTCAGAGGCCAGAAATCAAGACCGAGGTACAGCAGATGGGTCTCTGGTAAGAGCCTGCTTTTTTGATTTTGGCTTAAAGACTGAGGCTCCTTGCAGGACAGTAGTGGCACAGGCCTTTAATCCCAGCACTCGGGAGGCAGAGGCAGGTGGATCTCTGTGAGTTCTAGACCAGCCTGGTCTACAAGAGATAGTTCCAGGACAGCCTCCAAAGCCACAGAGAAACCTTGCCTCGAAAAAACAAAAAAACAAAAATAAAAAAAAAAAGAGAAACAGTAGAAAGAAAACTTCTGAGGTATTCTGAGACATAGGCCAGAGAATGGAGAGAAGAGACTGGATCATTTTTAACTCCGTTTCAGGCTAAACCAGCAAAGGAAAACAAAATTGTCCATGTCAATTTTCTCTAAGTTCTTAAGGTCACAACATATCCTGCTTTTGGAAACAACCAGCCAGGAAGTAGGGAGAGTTAAGGATGGCACATACCTTCCACCTATAATACTACTAGCTCTTGGAGCCTGAGACAGAAAGATGGCCATGGGTGTAAACTAGCCTGGGATACAATGTAAAAATCTGTCTCAAAAAGAGGAAAAAAAACCAAAAAACAAAAACCAACCCTTCTCTTCATGGACTAGCCTCCTTTCCAGTGACAGTTTCTGTCCTATCCTTGTAATCTAGAACAAGTGAAGGTTCAGTATGAACCATCTATTCCCAACTTCCCAAATCTCACTATGAAGTTCCTTAGCCTCAGGTCCTATGGACACTTTCCGAAATGTGTCACAGTCCTCCATCATCAGTTCCCATCTGTACTTGTTCTTTAAAACAGTAGCAATTTTACAATTCCATTTCATGTATATGGGTACTTTGCCTGTGTACTGCTTGAGTGCTTGGCACCTAAGAAGGCCAGAGGAGGGTGCTGAATACCATGGAACTGGAGTTACAGATAGCAGTGAGCTGCCATGTGGATGCAGGGAATCAAATCCAGGTCCTCTGGAAGAAGTCAGCTCTCTAATTGCTGAGCCATTTCTTTCTCCAGCTCCACTTCTTGGGTGTCAGGGCCTTTCACTGTGTCTTCTGAGGTAGAAGTGACAAGGCAAGTCTCTGAGGCCTATTTATATGCATGTACATGCACATATATTTGCATAAGTATGGGTGTAAAGAGACCAAAGATAACCTCTCGTATTATTCCCATCTATCTTTATAGCTTTTTGTTGTCGTCATTGTTGTTGATAGAGTGGCCTGGAACTCACCAAGTGAATGAAAAAGGGAAATAAAAAGGAAAGGAAAGGACATGACTGCTCTTAGTGTGCTGGAGGAGAAAGTTTATTATAAATATACGAGAGCACAGTCAGAGACAGGGACATCTGGGAAAATCCAGGGTGGACATGACTAAGCGAGCTGGGACATGTGGGGAGAGGGGGACAAAGGAAAAAGGGAGAGAGGGGAGCCAGGTGCAGCAGCCAGGAGACCAAAGGTCCAAAAAGGGGAGAGTAACCAAAATGTCTGGATTATACTGGGAAGAGCCTCTGGGGGAAGGGCTGGAGAGTTCAGGGTAGAGGGCAGGGTATGTTGCCATCCATACCCTGTAACAGGTAGGAATCGAGGGATGATGGAAGAACCAGGTGGCCAGGTTCAGCTTATATATATATTAAATAGGCACCTCAGCATCTGTTCCCATGTTTGAAAGTTAACACCAAGTAGACTAGTGGAGCCCAGGGATCCACCTGTTTTGGCCTCTCTGGTACTGAGATTGTGTACACCACTACTGTTCCTGGCTTTTTTTTTTTTTTTTTTTTTTTTTTTGGTTTTACGAGACAGGGTTTTCTCTGTATTGTTTTGGAGGCTGTCGGTCCAGCCCGGCCTCGAACTCACAGAGATCCGCCTGCCTCTGCCTTCCGAGTGCTGGGATTAAAGGCGTGCGCCACCACTGCCCGGCATATTCCTGGCTTTTTTATATGGGTCTTGGGGATTGAGCTCAGATCCTCATGCTAGCAAGGTAACTTTGCCAAATGAGCAATCTCTCCAGGCCCATCTGGGGCCTCTTCTATGAAAGCACCAATTTTATTCATAAGGACTATGAGCTTATGACCTCATGACCTCCCCAAAGCTCCCCTTTTAAACTCAGAATGGAGGGGAACAAACTTTGAGGCCACAGCACAGAAAGTGATGCTACAAAAAGGGGAGGACACAAGTTGGGGCTGTAGATAGAACCCCCAGCCGTAGCTAGCCTCAAAATCATTAGACCAACAGTGGGGAACATAGCAACAGGCACAGACAAAACATATAATTAAGACTCTTAAAAAAAAGCATGAAATGACCTTTACTTCATGTATAAGATGTATTTGAAACAAATGAATTACGCATAAACTTGGGTCTTATTCCAAGTTCTCATTTTATTTGTTTTCGAGACAGGGTTTCTCTGGTTGTCTTGGAACTCACTTTGTAGAACAGGTTGACCTTGAACTCAGAGATCAGGCCTACTCAGTTTCCCAAGTGCTGGGACTAAAGGTATGCACTGCGACCACCCCACTACCACTCTGCCCAAGTTCTCATTTTATGTATGCAAATATTTAAGCCTAATAGCCCTAAGCATTTTGGAAAGGGGTTGTCAACTCTGCTTGTCTTTTGTTCTTAACAGTCTTCTACTGGTGCAGTCCTGTGGAGTCTATACTCCCTGTGGGGAGTCCACAATAGAATCACAGGAAGCAGCAGAAAGGGCAATGAGAAGGGGAAAGTTAGCTAAGAGGTCTGCTGAGGACCGCAGTAGATGAGGAAATTAGGTTGGAGAGAAATGCACTTCACCTTCAGACCAGATCCCGGCTGCACCCTCTTCAAACACCAGCCACACCCCTCAGAACACCGAAGCAAGCAAAAGTGGCCCAGGAACACAGACAGGACACACCAAGCACACCTACACGTGGTCACATGACGGTGCTGTAACTGGTATTCGTTCTTCCTGAAATGTAGCTACTATTTTGAAGATCACCTCATTAAAAATACTCCTTGTGAGGTAAAGGACAGGCTTCTCCTCTTCACTGGGGCATTTAGAAAAGGAGAGAAGTCTTCTCCAGGGGCTTTATATGTACACCTGCAGTTTCCTGGAGTGGCTGGCAAGCAGCACCTGGAGCTGCAGGAACAGCAGAAGCAATGGGCATCTTTAGGCCCAGTCCTGCTCACCTTGGTCTTTGGGTTAAGGCTGAATGACCATCCTGAGGCAAAGAGCAAGCAGATCAGAGTCTTGGAAGAACTGTCCTGCGGGGCAGCTCAGAGATGTGCTACTTTTGGAAATCACTCACCTGGGGCAGCTGGCAGATGGTCATAGGCTGGGCATCCCTGACACTCTGCTCCTGAACAAGGAAGGCATCTTGCGGAACTGGAAGAGATGGAAAAGATGTCCCAAAGGGAGCCAGGCCTGGGCCCCAACACCTCCCAGACTTCCAGGGGTTCTGTGCTGCAGATTGCGCAAGAAAAAGAAAGCAGAGAAGGACCAACAGGGAACCATGCCTGGTGCTCTGCATAAGCCCATCCTGCCTTAACTTACAAAATGAACACTTCGCAAACCACAAGGGTTCTGTTACTTTATTTTTTTATTTTTATTTTTTTATTTTTTTTGGTTTTTACGAGACAAGGTTTCTCTGTATTGTTTTGGAGGCCATCGGTCCAGCCCAGCCTCGAACTCACACAGATCCACCTGCCTCTGCCTCCTGAGTGCTGGGATTAAAGGCGTGCGCCACCACCACCTGGCCTGTTTCTCTGTATTGTTTTGGAGGCTGACCTGGAACTCTCTCTGTAGACCAGGCTGGCCTCGAACTCACAGAGATCTGCCTGCCTCTGCCTCGGGAGTGCTGGGATTAAAGGCATGTGCCACCAACTCCTAGCCACAAGGGTCCTGGTAGTCTTCCAGATAGACAATGGAGGCTATCACAGGGAAGGCCTGGGTTTAGGACGGCCTGATTAATTAGCTATTCAACCTCTGTAGATCCAGGGACCAGTTTCAGCATCTAAAATGTGCCCAAGAGCCAGGTACAGTATTACATTATCAATTAACAGTTGGATCAGTGAAGAAAACATGGTCTACAAGAGAGAAGAAAGAAGAACTAAGGAAGGGTGGGGAGGACAAAGGACCCATGACATTGAAGCGGGGAGGAGACTGGGGTAAAATGAAGGGGAAATGAACAGAAGGATGGGGAGGAGATCAACAAGAACTGCTGAAATTCCACAATACAACCTAACACTTTATATGCATATATCTATATTATATGCACATGCTGTCACACCAGGCTGCCTATTGGCTCTTAAAAGTTTCAGGCTACAGAGCAAATTTCATGATACTCAGAAGGACCTGTCTCAGCAAAACAAATAAAAGAGGGAGAGCAAGAGCGAGAATGGGGGTGGGGGAGAAGGAGGGAGAGGGAGAGAAAGGAAAAAGGAGGAAGGGGGAGAGAGAGAACATTCAAGCAAAGCTATAGACACTCAGTCCGGGCGTTGGTGGCGCACGCCTTTAATCCCAGCACTCGGGAGGCAGAGGCAGGTGGATCTCTTGAGTTCGAGGCCAGCCTGGTCTACAGAGCGAGTTCCAGGACAGCCTCTAAAACAATACAGAGAAACCCTGTCTTGAAAAAAACCAAAAAGATATAGACACTCAGGATACTAGTCAGTCATAAAAAGGGTGAAATCTACCACCTGTGCAGTGTGGATGACCCTGGAACACATATCCTGAGAGAAATAAACCAGGTACAGGATAACCAGCACAGCTCAACCTTGCTCATATATGAAATTTAAAAACTTAGTAGGGGCCAGGTGTTGGTGGCACATGCCTTTAATCCCAGCAGTCGGGAGTCAGAAGCAGGCGGATCTCTGTGAGTTTGAGGCCAGCCAGGTCTACAGAGTAAGTTCTAGGACAGCCTCCAAAATGATACAGAGAAACCCTGTCTCGAAAAAACAAAAAACAAAAACAAAAACAAAAAACCAAAAACCAAAAAACCCAACCACTTAGTAGGGTATGGTGGTGTTACAGTCCTAGCATTTGTAGGCAAGGTACAAACATCCAAACTCTGAGGCCAACTTGAGTTATTATACAATGAGTTCCAGGTTAATGAGACGTGGCCTCAATAGTATTTCTAACTATTTCATGCTATATCATAGGTTTCCCAAGCAAGTTTTAGAGCTCTTTGTGGTATCTGGAGGAAATGTTTCAATTCTGCTTCCTAATGCCCACCACCAATCATGGATGGATTGCTGTCTTATTCTATCCAAACAAAGCCTAGCTTTGGGGGAAGAGCTTCAAAGTAGAAGCTGTATCTCTAGCAAATTCTAGTGTTTAATGTTTTCCCAAATGCTGTGCAGCAGGAAATCCTGTACTGAGTATTGCTCAAATAAGCAACCCAGAGCCAGAGTGGATTCTTCATCATCTCAGACAACTGGGGTTCTAGAAGATTCTTCACAGCAGGCCTCTCCCTGGGCATTCTTCCCCTAGAACTGCTCATATATACCCCAGGCTGTTTGCACAGTACTGTTGATTTGAGGAAATGGGTATTTCCTGATATATTTCAATTATGTTTCCTGGAAATTCACATGCTCAAATCCTAACCCCCTAGGCATCTCAGAATGTGGCTGTATTTGGAGGAAGGCTCTCTAAGGAATCAATCAAGTTAAAATGAGGTCAAGAGCATGGGCCCAAATGTCACTAAAGAGGGGTAGCTAGAAGACAGCTATACAGACAGAAGATACAGCAAGAAGTGGTTGTTGATCCACGAAAGTAAGGAAGTGCAGAAGAACCCAAGGCTGATCTGCCCTTCACTTCAGACCTGCAGCTTCACAGCTGTGAGAGAATAAATGCTGTTAGGTAAGTGATCTAGTGTGTAGAACATTGGTGGGCAGCCCCACCAAATCAACACATATGCTTCCACTTCTCGTCACAGAGGGACAGGAGAGGCCTGACTTGTATAGAAGTCAGTCAATGTTTGCAGAAAGGAAAATTATGCACACATACACACACAATGTATATATATTATATATATAATTATATTAATACATACACATACTTTTTTTAAAGAAAAAGACTATTATTGCCTATATGATCAAGCAGGCCTATAATCGCAACTCTCAGGAGGCTGAGGCAGGAGAGTCATGAATTTGAGGATGACATGAGGAAGGGGAAGTGGAAAAGAAAAGAGAAAGGGATAGGAAGAGGAAGGAAAGAGAAGAGAAAACAGCCTTTGTTTTTGGTTTGGGTGAAGTCCGAGATTGAACCTGGGGCTTACACACAGTGGGTAGATGCCCTACCACAGGGCTGTGCTTCTGGCTCACTCAAAAGAGTCAACGCCAATGCCAGAAACAACTTCAGAAAATCACAAGAATGCACTTTTCCCATTATAATTAAAGTAACAAGGCCACCCAAACATGTATGAAACCTCAAGGTGCCACAACTTTCCAGGATCATTAGCCCAATTCAACCAAGAAGTTGGACAAAAAGAAAGAATGCTGCGTGCACACTTTTCTCTTGTTCATTAGCATTTACACTGTAGGCATTATAAAAAACAAGAAACAAATTACACAGGATATGTCTAAGTTATATAAAAATATTGTGAACGGAGCTAGCATTCAGAGGTTAAGTTGGATTGAGAGTTTTCAGTTAGATTGGGCAACACAGTTGGACCCATTTCAAAAAAACAAAACAAAAACCAAACCTGCCATGCCATCTTTTGTTCAATTGTTTCTCGAGACAGAGTTTCTCAACTTATATCTCTAACTGTTCTGGACCTTGATTTATAGAGGCCAGGCTGGTCTCCAACTCACAGGATTCACCTGCCTCTTCCTGAGTGCTGGGATTAACGGTGTGCTCCATCATGCCATAATGTCAGTGTTATCTGAGGGGCACAGGGTCCCCAGGACTTGAGGGAATTTGGGAAACAAACCTCAAGGAACTAAGAACTGACCTAATGTAGCTCAAAGGAATGGAGGCTCTGACTTTGTAGGCAACACCCCCTCTCTTTTCAGCTGCTGGATGCTTTGAATAGGTAGATACCCAAACCCTGCCACAAGGCACTGGGGCCATCTTCTGCAGGAGAGGCCACTGTTCTCTCCCAGGGGGGTTTAGGTTTTCCTACAGCTGCAGGGTAACCCAGGCAAGACAAAATGGTTTTGAGAGGACAAAGCAAGACCCATGCTCAGATCAGGCCACAGGTCCTGGTCCCACAGTGACTACATGTCTCCACTGAGAATACACTCAAAGAAAGAAGACCACATAACCTCACACCATCTGCTCAAGCCTTCCCTCTGGGAGACTCAGTACCAAGAAGAGTCTCTCGTTGGTTGCTCTGTGGAAGGACCCAGACCACAATGACAGTTCATAGTTCAGAGGAGACAAGAGAAACCTGTGAATGTAAAAAAGCTGTCACCTCCATCAAGACCAGAGCACATGGATGATGTGTAGCTCAGCTCCCCAACTCACAGCACAGGCTGCATACCTGGGTCCTCAGTGGGGTGGCCTGGTGGTCTGCTTAGGAGCCCTAGGCCCTGTGCGAGGGCCACAGGCTGGGCATCAGGGTTGCTCTGAGACTCTGCTGACATTCGTTCTTGTTCTAGGTCCTGAGGCCCAGGGCCATCGCCATCGTCAATCACCACCGGGTCTTCGCAGTGCTTGAGCTGCAATTCCAGAGACAGCAGATCAGGGCCAGGTGGAGAGAAGTAAGACACACTGACCTGCCTTAGACTCTGCATGGGTCTGGGTAGGCCCTCTCCCATTCTGGTCCTGCCAGACATGGACTTGACAGGTAATAATAACCATCTCAACTTAGACTGCATAGAGAAGCGTTCACTTTCTTAGGAAGGCAGACACCTGGTTTAGGCAGATTTTCTCATCTTGGGGTCAGGGGTCTCACGAGGTCAGCGGGGCTCCCCTCTCCCAGATGCCCGGTGCTCACCCACTGCCAGGGTCTCCCTGGCTCCCGTTCCAGAGCCTCTACGGCAGCCACAGCCTGCTCTCCACTCTCCGGCTCCTGGGCACGCACCCAGCTCTGAATCTCCCATGGCAGGATGGCCAGGAACTGCTCCAGCACCAGTAGCTCCAGGATCTGCTCCTTCGTGTGCCTTTCGAGCCGAAGCCAGCCACGGCACAGCTCCCAGAGGCGCTGCAGGGCCTCCCTTGGGCCTGCTGCCTCTTGGTATCGGAACCGGCGGAAGAGGCGTCGAGAGGACTCTGGGCTGGGAGGCTCACCCTGAGGGCTGGGGTTCTCTCCAGGAGGACTCCGCATTTTCCTGGGCTCCTCGCTTTCCTTTGGAGCCAAGACTCGTGGGCACAGGGCTGTGGGCATGATGGGATTTGATGGGGGTCAGCGGCAGAAGACGACCCTATTTCCAAACAGAAATCGCTGGCTTCAATGCTCTGATCTCCTGTGGTTGTTTCTGGGAGGGTGGTAGACAGGGCCCATGGGAGACCAGCCCTTGAAGGAATCCCTGGGGAATGTATGAAGTGTTGGTATGGCTGGTCCTTACACATGGGGACAGAAAGAAAGATGGCCCTTCCCACCAGCATCACTCCACGTAGATTCCCCTAACAGGTGGCAGTGGAGGCAGGAAATCTGGGAGAGAAGTGGTGGCATTTCAATAGGACACTGGCATTTTCACCATCCCAGGAGAACAGGCCACATGCAGATATGTGTAACCAAGGCTTGTGATACCTTTGGTGGACAGGTCCTCTCGGGGGATATAGTTCCAGCAGACCAAAATCTTGAAGCTTTGGAGCCAAAGTCACTGTCTTGGTTCTTGAGATCTTCACAAATTGAACTTAAAAAAAAAAGGGGGGGTCAAAGGATGAGCCATCCAAGACCATCGTGGGACAATGCCATTCTGCCAAGGACAGAATGGATGGACAAGAGTCCAACAGAGCCTGCACTCTGTGTCCGCAGGGGCAAAAACTTCCAGGCAGAGAAGGAACTCAAAAACAAAACAAAAAACCCACTGTATTTAAAACACCATCACTAGGCCTAGGGTGCAGGTCAGTGGTAGAGTTGCAAGGTCCTAGGTTGGTGTACCCAATGGCTCCTCTTCCCCGCTATCAGTGCAAACCCAGCATAGAACTGTAATCTTATCTAAAGACCATTTGTCTCTGGGGGCTGGAGAGACAACTTCGTAGTTAATAGTGCACCCACCACCCACCCACCTCAAGTTGTTCACAAAGCCCTCTAATTCCAACTGCAGAGTTTCTAACATCTCCTTTGAGTCCCATGGGCACCACACTCGAGTGCATGTGCCCCACACAGATATCTACACAGGCATACGGAGAGTTTAAAAAATAAAATCTTGCTGGGCGTTGGTGGCGAATGCCTTTAATCCCAGCACTTGGGAGGCAGAGGCAGGCAGATCTCTGTGAGTTCGAGGCCAGCCTGGTCTACAAGAGCTAGTTCCAGGACAGCCTCCAAAGCCAGAGAAACCTTGTCTCGAAAAACCAAAAAATAAATAAATAAAATCTTAAAAATAAAAACAATTCTAAAAAGTTACTTGTAGTTAGGCATGTGGGCATGTGTGTAAGTGTGTGTGTGTAAAACAATGTAACTAGAGAAAAAGAGGCCAAGATTTTGGGGAAGGGATTCCATGGGAAGGGTTGGAGTAAAGGAAAGGGGAGAATGATGTAATTACATTTTAGTACCTAAATGTGATTAAAAAAAACTACTACTTTTATCTCATTGGTTCCTATCCCTAGTTCTCTCCATATCAGGCTCAAGGCAGTGGTACATACTGACTTCACTGACCTTCTGCCCTTGATGAACTCTTGATCACACACACACCAACACACACACACACACACACACACACACACACACACACGGGAGCAGAGCATGGCCACTCCACTTGACCTCTGTTCTCTGGCCTCACACTTCCAAACACTGGGAGAAAAGGCAAACGCAGACACACAGGGTTCTGCTCTCAAGACTCTGGGAACCCCAGGCAGGGCCACTGACAGTTCACACCCTCACCTGGAAGCGATTCCTAGCAGGACAGCACCACTTTACAGGAAGACAAGCGATACCAAAACAGCCACCAAGCAACCGAACAACACCTGGAACCCCAAATTTTCTATACTCCTTTGATTTCCGAAGTAAAGGCAAACAGCACCCAGAGCGCGAAACTCTGAGAGCAACAGGCTGTGAACCGAAACTACTCTTACATCTTACTCCGGTATTAAGAACCCAATCTGGGCCCCGCCCGCTCTCTTCCCAGCTTCCTCCGCCCACTATCTCCCACCTGCTGGGCCCTGAAATGCTCAGGTCTAACCCCATGGTAAGGTACCCAGCGTCCCAGCCTCAGCACCCAGCTCTGCGGCGGGACTGCTCTCTGAGAGTCCCCAGGCCAGACAGGCGTGTGCCTCTTTGTCATCCTGGCACCTGGCGCGCAGGAGTCTCCGGAGCGGAAGCTTTATGAATGAACTACCGTTAGTGAGGGGAGGGCTCCCGCAGGGGCGGGGCTTGCCCAAAGCAGGTCCTGAAGGAGCAGCATCCGAGGGAAGGAATGAGGAGGGTGTTTTAGGCCAGGAGAACTATGGGGTTTCTGTCGCTTACACTCTTCCAGGTTTGCTGGCTCTTCACTTCGAAGCCTGGGACTGCGAGGCGGCAGGTTCTCGCCTTCCAGCTCGGTCTCTCTGGTGTCTCGGCCGAGGTGGCTCCTCTGCACGGGCCAGACTCTAGATGATCTCGGGATCATCTAGAAAGCATCAGCTGGCTTGGGAGCGAAGGGAGACGCCTGAAAGACAATCGAATTGCTTCATCCCCGAGGGCACCTATGAGGACGCAGCGCTGGGAGCAGGGATCTGGGCCAGGGCGCGGGAAGTGGAGAACAGGGAGCAGGACCCAGGCGCAGGGCTGGGGATCAGAGCGCGCGCGGGAAGTGGGGAGCAGGATCCGGGTTCAGGCAGCAGGACATGGAAAACCGGGCCACGGTATACTCACCGCTGAGCAGCGTCCCGGTTGGCGGGCCGCGCAGGCCGGGCCGCCGCGGAAAGGAAAGGCCGGAGCCCTCCGGCTCCCTCCCCTGGGACACTTCCTGCACCGCTCTAGGACCGAGGAGGTCTCCTCATCTCAGTGGTTCGCTTCCCCGCCTCCCGGCCGAGGTGTACGCGGGGGGTGACATCCGACACCCCCGGCCCGCGCGGCCCGCCCCGCCCCGCTCAGTGCTCGCCCGGCTTGGGCGCGGGGCCCGGGCTTTGGCTTTGTGGGCCTTCGCAGCCGGTTCAGGATGCGCGCGTCTCGGCGGGACCCGGGCGCTGGGGTCCAGTTCGGGCGGCCACTAGCCTGGGAGGCCGGCCTGGGGCGCCGCTCTTCCCTGCTCCTCTCCTGTGGGCGCAGGGAAGGGCCGGTCTGGCGGCGCTGGCGGAATGCCAGAATTGGGAGGAGGAGAGATGAGGTGTAAGGGGATCTCTCTGTGACCACCCGCATCCAGTTTGTGCCGGTGTGGCCCAACCCCTTCCAGCCAAAATTCCATTTCTAAGCGGGCGCTTCCAGGGCCACCCAGGCCAGCAAGACTGGAGAATGCAGATCCGACGATCCACTGGGCCTGCCGAAGCATCGGCCAGCGCCTTCGTGGCGTGGAAATCATCTGCTGTTTCTCTGTTTAAGGAAGGTTGTAGCATTCTGTGTCCCTCTGAGCGCTAGTATGGTCCTGGTGAGTACGGAGAGAGAAGGCTGCCAATCCTGAGAGTAGGAGACAGGACAGGGAACTGTTGCTGGCTTAGTGAAAAGAGGTTGATAGACTGCATAGAGACAGAAAAGACGTTTACTTCTGTCACGGTGAGTGAAAGGCAACCAAGAACTAGGGCATCTGAACCGATTTCTGCTGTATCCACCCTGTACTATTGAATAGAGTCCAAATCCTCCCCACATCTGTTCTCCGGGGTTGGACAATAGAATCAGACTGTCCAAGGGAAGTGGCAAAGGAAGTTCTGCCCAGAAGTGAGCTACCGCGCTGATTTTCTAACGATCCTCTTTTCAAAGGTAACATGGAAGGAAGTCAGTTCCCTTAAAGAAGGCGGCTTTTTGGAGATACCCCATCACCGGCAGACTGTTTTTGTCATGTGGGTCTATGTGCTTCCATTTCCTTCCTTCTAATAACTGGGATAATTGCTTCCGACTAGTAGATGTCGAGTCAAATGTCCAGATTTTGTGACATTAGATGAACCAAACGGATGAGTAAATGGCTGTTTGTTCCTCAGGTGCAGCAAATCTGAGCCAGGGTCACCAGGGCTGGTACTTGAGGCTTGCAGGTAACAGGAGGAGCCACCCTCTGCTTATCAAGATTTACAGACTGATGCCAATCTCTTCTCAGGCTCAGCCTAGTCTCTAGGCCCCTAGAGCAGCCAGAGACCCCCAGTCAAGCCTAGCAGTTGGCCCAGCAACTGTTTGATCTCATGCCTGGTGGCTGCTGAGTACTTGGGCTCCCGGGCTTGCTCAAGCAGGTAAAATGCAGAGCCAAGAGATGACTGGTACACCTCATGTGGTTTTTCCCACCCCACACCCCTCCCCTTCAGTTTCTTCCCTGGGTCTCCCACCTCTCAGCATTCAAGTCCCCTCTCGCTGTTTGGTAGTCACCGATGGCTCTGAATTTCTGTTTCTTCTGTATTGAGCCTAGCATAGGGACTGATGGACTGGTTTGGGAATCAGAACACCTGTGTTAAATCATGCCCGTCAAGGCCCAGTCAGGTGATCGCGGGCCTGCCCGTAACCTTTCTGTGCCTCAGGTGCCTCATAAAGAAGACAGGTGATGTTGTCCGCTTCGTTCTGTGGTCATTCAGGAAACGTGGTACTGAGTGTCTACAAGGCATCTGCATCCCTGGGCACATCTGTACACAGCACTGGCCATTGGAAGGGCAAATGATGAGCAAAAACAGGTGCTGATTTGAAGAGCCACAGGAAGACTCCAAAGCAGCATGGCAGCCTCAAGACAGTGATGAGCAGGTCCTGAGACTTGTCACCTCGCTGTATTGAAGGGCAGGGTGGGTCAGACATCCTGGCAAAGGTGGTCTCTGAAATGAGGTTGGAGTGTTGGGGCCCTGGGGCAGCACTGAGAGCCACAGAAAGGCTTTGTGCTCTATAACAACCAGTGCTCTGTCAGGATTTGTGGGTGAAGTACCAGAAGACACCCTGCCTGTAAACCCTGCTCTGTTGTCTGGTCCATGCTGTGCCAATGATCCCCCCGTCTCTGCTACCACTATTCAGTTAGAGTGGCAGCTTCTAAGTGAGCGGGACTTTTATTTTTGCCAAGGATTAGAGACAGACTTGAAAATCAATTTCTCAGCCGGGCGTTGGTGGCGCACGCCTTTAATCCCAGCACTCGGGAGGCAGAGGCAGGTGGATGGATCTCTGTGAGCTCGAGGCCAGCCTGGTCTACAGAGCAAGTTCCAGGACAGCCTCCAAAACAGAGAAATACCTGTCTTGAAAAACCGAAAAAAAAAAAAGAAAGAAAAGGAACTTCTAAGCCTTAGGTGTGGGAATGTTATAGCTATGTAATGAATGAGAGGAGCTGAGTGCCAGGTCCATGCCTGTAATCCTACCACTTGGAGTTAAGAGTTAGAGGCCAGTCTGCACTGTGTTAGATATCTAGTAGCAGGCCATCCTGGACTTCATGGCCAGACTATCTCAAGGAGGGAAAATGAAGATGGGAGGGTCAAATAATAGAAACATTATTTTTTTCTGGGGTTTCTGGAAGTTTTCCAGGAATTTGGGTGTCTCTTTTCATTCTTTTATGATTCTTGACAATTATTAACCACCAGGAGATAGGAGGTATTGTTTAGCCTACAAATGGGATTATAATGGAGGTAGAGCTTCATTGTATTTTAAGCTAGCTTAGATCTAGCCAGTTTCAGCTGGCCCATCAGAAAAGGTACTTTGGCCTTTAGACACCCAGCTCTCTGAAAGGGTTAGGGAGAGGTAGATATTTAGCTAGGCCACTGAAGCAGAACTCAGGGTAACATAAGGAAACTAAAGAAAACTCAACTTCAAGAAGCTGGAGAGAATGAAATAATAAATGACATCAGGGACAGGGGATACAGCTCAGTTGGTACAGTGTTTGCCTAACATGCAGAAGACACTGACTGGTTCAGTCTCCAGAACCGTGTAAATGGACATGATGATACTCACCTATAATCCCAGCATGCAGGAGTAGAGACAGGAGGATCAGAAGTTCAATCCTCGACTACATAGCTAATGTGAGGAGTGAGGTTCAAAAACATGGTTTGCAGGACTCAGGGACTTACAGAGACTAAACTGACAATCAGGGAGCCTGTATGAGCTTAGTTCCTCTGCATATATATTTTGGTTTTGTAGCTTGATACTCTTGGGGGACTCCTAACAATGGGAGTGGGGGCTGTCTCTGACTGCCTGTTTTGGGGACCCCTTTCCTCCTACTGGGTTGCCTTATCCAGCCTTAACATGAGGGGATGTGCATAGTTTAGTACAACTTGATATGCCATGTTTGGTTGACATCCCTGGAGGCATGCTCTTTTTCTGAAGGGAAAGGGAGAAGGAGTAGATCTGGGGAAAAGGGGAAGTGGGGGAGGGACAGAGAGAAGAGGAAGGAAGGGGAAACTGGTCAGGTCGTAATATATGAGAGAAGAATAAAAAAAATGTTATGACCAAAGGTGTCCATGATCCTTTACACAAAAAACTTACTGGGACACACATACTATCTCTCTCTCTATATATATTTTTTCTACTTCCATTCATATATATATTATATATGTATGAAAGAAGTATATTGAGAAAAGTAAAGGGCTCAGTGGGAGTGGGCCAAAGGAGGGTAATGGAGAGGAAAGCAATCAAAATACTTTATAAAACACTTTATACACATATATGAAAACGACAATGAAACTAATATGCTAATAAAAGCATTAAAATGCCATAATATAGTGACACCAAGTGACAGATGCCTCAGTGAAAAATAGGGAAGAAGTCAAGAAGATGGAGTTTGCTGGCTCGGACAGACTGAACAGCAAAGCGAGGCCAAACTCAATAGCAGGTTGTCCTCCTCACGTTAATTACACACATTAAATGCTGGGCATAGTGTTGCACACCTGAAATCCCTGTACTCCAGAGGCTGAAGCAGGGAGGACCAGACTTTATAGCCTGAGACACTTCCTGGATGGGGTGGGGGAGGGAAGGGGACGAGGACAATGACTGACTGAGGATGAGTTCAAGTTCAGTGTCTGTCAGTATGCACCAAGCCCTGATTAAATCCTCAGCATTGCATAAAGCCAGGAATGGTGTTGCATGCATGTGATCTTGACACTTGGGGGGATTAGGAGTTCAAGGTCGTCTCATATAGTGAGTTTGGGGTCAGCTAGACTTACATTCCCTGTCTGAAAAGAAATACAAATTGATGCGATGCAGAGTGCCATCTCATGTCTACATACCTTGAGTAATATCGTATTTAACCACCCTCTCCACATCCTTCCTGACCTCCAGGAAGCTCTAGTTTACTTTTAAGTTGACTTTTTATTTATGTGTTTATTGTTGTTTTGAAACAGTCTCATCGTATAGCTTTGACTGGCCTAGAATTCATAGATCTGCTTGCTTCTGCCTCCTGAGCATTGTGATTTAAAAGCATGTGCCACCATACCTGGCTCTTGACTTTTAAAAAGTTTTATTGCATTGATTTATATTTGCAGTGTGGGCAGGTGTGCATGCCAAGGGCACACTCGGGAGGTCAGTG